AGACATGTGGTGGTTTGTGAGGCCAGTCCATCAGATCTAATAGCGTACCGACTCTGGGATTCCGGGGCGTGGCGTTACAATGTGACAGCGACTATGTAATAACTCCGTCATCCTGCGGCTCTCTGATTCTCTGAACCGCCTGAAAAGAAAATAAAATAAAAAGAACAACAACGAAAGTGTCAGAGCGCTAAAGTAAGATCACCTCCATCCGCCCCCAGAGGAAGGGCTGCTAGATATAGTGGAGGCTCTATCTTTTAAGCATTGTTTATCTTCATCATTTTCCCCGTATCTAATGGTATTAATACTTAGAAATCTACAACATAAGATGTAGTACGTCGAGCGAAATAATCCAAACAAGAAAACCCTCATGTATATACCATATGTCTCAAACTGTAGATGTCTAAATATTAATCCCGAACTATGTAAAGAAACATCACTGGAAAATAAAATACCATAATGACCATCAGCATATAAGTCTCTGTTAGATCCTTTTTTTATGATGATTTACAAACACCATTATTGGTGCTAATTTTTTATTGAGTTATATTATAGATCACATATCATTAGCACCTTATATGGAGGATTGGATGGAAAATGAGCTATAACGACAATATCCAAGGAGGTGGAGGCAAAGTGATGAAGCAATGCTTTCAAGAGCACCATATGCATAGGTGGAGGCAAAGTGATGAAGCAATGCTTTCAAGAGCACCATATGCATAAGAAGCTTCATCTACTCAAAAGCAAATATCAAAACTCAAGTCATGTATTTCTATATGAGGGATATTTGCTATTTTATTTTTTTCTCTAGTACTTAACGTAGGCAAGTAGTTTGTTGATTACTTTTGAAGCTCATGGGATATCACACTTGCACACTTTCAAAACTAGTATTTTGGTACATTTGCTAAAATGATGATTTTCACACATACGAGGACCTTTTTGTAAAATTCCTTTTCAAACAAGTTTATCAAAATATTTATAAACTATTCTCAAAGTTTTACATTTTTTGGAGTTTATTTACTATTTTTAACAGAACCTTGAAACTCAATTTCAAAATCGATTCAGGATGATAATCTATTATCAGTCGACTAACCAGTTGACTGATAACATCAGTCGGTTGATGTGTCGACTGATGAAACTGCCTGCAATCATCTAAAGTTTTGGTTCTGTTTTGGTCGACTGACCAGTCGACTGACGAATTGTCAATCGACTGAAAATGATCGTCAGTCGACTGATGATTCCCGTCAGTCAACTGATAAGCAGTCTAACGGCTAGTTTTTCTCATAATCTGTTTCTTGATTTTTGGGGGATTTCCACTAGTTCTTTGGGGTTTTGGCTGTTGCTTTCTCTTCCTATAAATACCCAACAACCCTAACTACTTCAGTAACTAAGCTTTTATTGCAAATCTCTTGTGTTTGAGTTTATTGTTTTCAAAGTGCTTCAACATTCATTTGCTTTTACTATTTCAAAGCATACATCCCAAGCTTCAATTGCAATCTCCTCTCTTGCCATAGGGCTACTGTAAAGAGAGATGTAAAACCCCATAAATTTGAAAATTTTCATGATAAATAATGATAAATATGTTTTATACTGAAAAATAATATATTTTAATGTTTAAGTATGATATTAATTGAGTTGAGATCAATTCAATGTATATTTGTGAATATATGAGTGCAAATGCACAAAACATGCATGAAGAGAAATCAGGAAAAATGACCAGTTAAGAGTTACTATATTTTACATAATGATGTAGTTGGAATCTAGAAAAACTCAAAGACTAAAGTTATAGGTCTCTTCAACAGCTTTGTAACAAATCTTAAATCATCTCATTCTGAGGTTGGATGCAAAAGTTACCGCTAAAATACCGAATGTGATTTTTCCAGTCAGACTAGGTTTCCTGGTTCGGGTCAAACAGGTTTATTTCGGGTTTACCTCTATAAATACTTATATTTTTCACAAAAATTCCTCTTTTTTATCATATCTCTGAACCCTAGCAGCCACCCTCTCCTCTCAAAAACTCTAGATCTTTTTCTTATGAATTTTGAGAGCTTTGTAAAGCACAATACCGACACGAGGGCGAGATCATCAACGTGTGACAAGGGAGAACATGTTGTTTACACTTTTGGATTGCTTGTTGTTTGTTTCAGAGGCTTGCATATGATTTTAAGGCAAGATCCCACTTGCTCAGATCTAAATTTTTCTATTTATTATGAATTATCTGTAATTTTAGATCTGTTAATAATTATTTGTGTGGGCTTGTTGATGAAATTATAAATTATTTATTTATGTTAATTTATGATATAATTATCTGCGTGGATTTGATGAATAATATTAGATAAATTATAATTATGTGATAAATAGTATTTTCAGAATAATTATAATAGATTAAAAGAATTTATTTCGGTAGCGGAATTATTTTTGGATAATTATATTAATTAAAAAGAATTTATTTGAGAACAGAATCATTTGAGGAAAATTATGATAAATTATAAGAAGTTATTTTGGAAAATAAATTATTTTCTGAATTACATAGTTGTTGTTCATGATTTATAATTCTTAGACTTGATTATCTGATATGCTATGATATTATTACACATGATTAGTTACATTGATTGTTCATTGTTGTGATTGAGAACCTTAGTAGTTCATGACTTAGTGGCTTCGTGCGTCATGAACGGACCTAGTGATATGTGTGGCTGTGTTGACTGAATTTAGGTGGTGAACCAGAGATAGTGTGGTTATGTTTGGCTTAGAAAAGCAAGAAGAGTTGGGATGGGGAAGTCCTTGTTCATGTGATCGGATAAAACTGTTGATGTTGATACGGGTGTATCTTATCTTTGGAACTTATTGATCCTCATGGGAGCTTGAGGATAGATGATTCTCATGGTAACTTAAGAATAGAGGTGTAAAACAACACAGTGGAACGCAGGTCGAAGCATGAAACGAGGCGGTGAATCAAAGAATCGAAGCGTCCAATTTTCAGCTCGTGAGTAGACTCATACATGCACATGAGTCGACTCATCAGGTTGATTCGACTCATGCCTGTCATGAGTCGACTCACGAAGCCCGGCCATTTGTCAGAAGTTTCTGACCAGTGGACTCATGACTGTCATGAATCGACTCACGAAGCCTAGTAGTTTTGTCAGAAGTTTCTGATCGGTCGACTCATGATTATCATGAGTCAACCCATGTGTCATGAGTCGACTCATATATGCACATGAGTCGACTCATCGATGGTTTCCTGGTTTGTTTAGGTTTCTGTTTGCACGAATTCCTGTGAGGTTTGGGCTTGGTTATTTATCACTTTGTCATTTACGTTGTTACACCTATAAAAAGGGTTGTTTATAGTTTCTAATAAAGCAGATGTAATCAAAGAGAGATTCTAATTAAGAGAGATTATGGTTTAGAGAGAATTGAGAGTTTATTCTCGATTCTAGTGAGATTGTGAGAGAGTGATTGTAATCTTTTCATACTCATAATCTATTGAGAGTTTATTCTCGATTCTAGTGAGATTGTGAGAGAGTGATTGTAATCTTTTCATACTCATAATCTAGAGAGGGTATTTCGATTCTAGTGAGATTGTGAGAGAGTGATTGTAATCTTTTCATACTCATAATCTAGAGAGGGTATTTTTCTTCGCCACATACTGAATTATTCTTATGTTTCTGTCATCTTCTTCTAAACCCACCTTTGATAATTCCACGATCAAAGGTGCTCGTACGGCGACTCGTATTAAGTTGGTATCAGAGCAATCATATCCTGTGAAGGGGGCATCCTGTATATGGTCCTGACTCGATCCTAATACAAGAAGTTAGGCGAGATCCTTATTTCATTGGAAGGGGTCCAAAAATTAAGGAAGAAGAAGATGACTGAAGGAGATAGTTCAGCGAGGCTTGATGCAATGGAGAAGCAGATCGAGACGATCGGTTCTACACTTAATCAGCTCGTTGGTCTCATCAATGGAAAGGACAAAAAGGAAGAATCTTCTTCGAAGGAT